CCAGGAAATAATATTTATTATTAATATTTTAATGAAAAATTTTAGGTGTTCATATATCACGATTTTTCTAGAATTTTCCAGAAACTTATTTATATATATATTTTCGATATATATATTTTAAAAATCCGTGAAGTCGTGAATCCGCGATAGTAGAACCGAACCGACTTATATACAGTGATCCTGTAATATTCTTAATTCTTCTTCTTATTATTATTATCATTATTATTATTATTATTATTATTATTATTATTATTATTATCATCATTCGATTTCTGCTATGGACACACTACCTACCAAGTCTGCGGAAGACCTAAAAGCAGGTCGTGGTATACAGTTATTTTTTTTTTTTTTTTTATCTCCGATGAAGTTGCTAGCGTTATTCAAAGTTCTCCTTAGTGTGTGTGCTGTAATTATGAAATTTTCTTAATTCTTCTTTTCTTAATTTGTTTTGTTCCATTTTTATAATTCCATCATTTATTATTATTATTATTATTATTATTATTATTATTATTATTATTATTATTATTTTAAATGTAAAAGTAGTCCTACATTTATAATTCCTTACGGCTAACCATGAAAAGAAATGTTGTTCAAAACTGCCTAAAACCATTAAGCCCGTATTGCCGCAAAGTTATCAAATGTTGAATACGCCCCCCCCCTCCGTTGAATACACACACATAGACACACACACAGAGACACAGACACACACACACACACACACATATATATATATATATATATATATATATATATATATATATATATATATATATGATATATAAATTCTTACATATCAGAACAATGTAATGAGATTTCTTCTAAAGTTGAATTCAATTCTATACTTCTAAACCTTCGTCTAAATTCTGATATTTTACTTAAAATATATTTATGATTTTTCGCCCGGTTCCCAATCTTTCCAACAGGGGCAGAGGTTTACTTGTTTCTTGTTTAGAAATAACAGTTCCTTCTAAAGAATGTCCTTACTCTTTAACTGACAGGAATCCCTTGCGTCTCATTGGCATTACCATCTTGCTTGAGTTGAATTGATTTTTGACAAAATGGAACAGAATAACTTCTACCGTGTATATTCTTTGCAGGCAGTCGATCCTGACCCGTATCAAAATCGAGTTCCTTTCGAAATTTTTCTTCTGCCCAAAACTAAAATTCCCGTTGAAATTACCAAACAGCTGATTTGAGGAATCGTTCCAAAAGTGGAAGTGATACTAAAGCATGTAAAGTCTTGAAAAAAATATCTTGGAGACAATGGAGCTACCATTATCCTAAGAAATGTTATTTTGCCTAAATATTGTATAGCTTGGTAACTTCCGAGTAGAGATAAAGTTTATATCTTTGTGACGGAATATAATTGTCTATTCGTACTCAAAAAGCCTTACTGTAATTTTTTTTGCTTTTTTTTATTCTTTACAGTAAGGTTCTCCCTGTACAAGGCCAAGAGGTCACTCGAGGTTAAGGGTTGAGTTACGGGGTAGTTTATACAGATAAGAAAGTGAGATAACCATTAACTCTAGAACAGGTCAAGATTTTAGTGATTGGGGGAAAATCCTCTTGGGAGTCTGATCCACAGAGCAATCGTTCGCAGGAAGAAGCTGTTCGAGTGGAACTTACTTCTCACTGAGAATAGAATACTGAGGGAATTTTTATGGTTTTATACACTATAAACATCATAGCGGGTCCTGGCCGTGAAGGTTAAACATTGTGGAACCAAGGAATGTAGTCCATCTGAGCACTTTCCATGGAAGTAGCGATAGGGCAAGTAAGAGACTCGCCACATCCCGTCTGTGAAAGAAAGATTTGGAAAATAATTCATCACCCACAAGTCCTCGGAGACGCTTTTGAACTCTATCAAGACTGGAAAGTGAGGAATGGGTATCTGGGACTCCATTTCGGACTGATCAGGCTCTTGTAAAGGTAGAGGGTAAAATGAGGAGTCAAGTAATACTGGAACGATACAGTGATCCGACCATTTTGTCCGACTTCCACTTGAGGTCAGGTGTGAGCTTGAGGTCCGAGGTTCTCTTCGATTATAAACTTGCGGTTTCTTATTTAATATTCTTTAAGCCGTTCCATTTTTAGTAATCCTCCTGCCAATAATATATCGAATTCATGCATTTCTTTCGGATTTTTAAATAGACACCTTCCTTCCGCTGAAGACGATCAAAATATGCCTGTTTTTACTGACTAATTTTCCGAGATTTATTAGAGAAAAATAACTTCAAAAGCATCAACTTAAAGAGGCGGTTTTCGCCCGGAGAACATACCGTTATCTCGTTATTGTACGAGACACACGAATAAAATACGACCTCGAGATATTTCTTGAAACTAGTCTAGAAAGTAAAAAGACAAAATGGATTGCCAGAGAAAAATGGGTTTTATTTTGTTGCTTGTTTTTTATTCCGATTTTTTTTTCTTTTTAAATCTTTTTCTTTTCACATTGCGTTGTAAACTTTAAGTATTCCACAGTATACAAAGGATGATATTT